ATTAAAGCTATGGGTATTTCAAGAGTTCAGTATGTTCTTAGTCTCTCAGATTGCCCTAATAGATACCTGAAAGAAATAAACAAAATGTTATTTGTATTTCTTTGGAAAGAAAAAGATAAGGTGGCCAGGAAAACAATGATAGGGGACATTCGTGTAGGTGACCTAAAAGTACCGGATATTTTTGCAATAGTGAAGGCTCAAAGAATAGATTGGCTACGCCGTCTGTTTGACAATGATATAGTCCACCCTTGGAAATAGATTTTGCAGAAAAAACTGTCTCGAGTTGGGGGAACTTAATTTTAATATTAATGCCCTTCCCATTACTGTGAGGGGTTTCTTTCATAGTATGTTAGAGTCGTGGCTAGCAGTCACAGCTCCGCCAGATGGTGAAAAGCATCCCCTAAATCAAAGTATTTGGAACAACAAACATATTTTACAAGGAGGCAGAAGTATATTTTTGGGAGATTTCAGGGAGGCTGGTTTCCACTATGTTGGAAATCTTTTTGATAATAAGGGCCAACTTCTTCAGTGGAATGAAGTGGAAAAAAGGGGAATACCTCGCAAGAGATTTTTGGATTGGTTTGGAATTGTGGCCGCACTACCACGAGAATGGAAAAGGGAAGTAGATATAAACAAATTTGCTAACCCCGAGGATGATATGTTGGGTATCAGATTTGTGGGCGTTCAAATTCATTTGAAACAATGTTATTTCACCAAGATCTGAAATTTATCATGTTAAAACATTGAACTCCAATATTACTGAATGGGAAAGTATATACTTAGCACCATTTAGACTCACAATAGAGTCAAAGCTCAGGGAATTTCAATGGAAATTCAGCCACAATATCCTGGTAACCAACTCTGTTCTTTGTAAAATGACCCCACCAAAAATTGAATCAGGAGCCTGTACGTTCTGTAAGGGGCCTGACGAAAATCTGCTTCATCTTTTCTATGAATGTCCAATAGTAAAATTATTTTGGGATACATTCTTTGTGATATGGGGGACAAAACTGAGTTTCCCTCGGGTAAACGACCCAGAATGCTTCTTTTTTGGTGATAGTCTTCTCCCCCTCCTGTTAAACTTTTTGCTTTTGGTAGCCAGGAGGTTTATTTATATTTGCAGATTAACAAACCAAAATTTGAGGAATTTAAAGACTTCGTGCAGAGGGTACAGAAAACTGAGTACTTGATTGCAAACAGAAATAGTAAATTGGGCAAACATTTAAAAAAATGGGAAAAATTTATGAAAATTGTAACAACGACCTAACATATCAACATGACTACCTGAAAAAATGGTAATATTTTTATGGAGACTTTGTACTTGTTTGTTGTGCAATGTAATTTTTTGGTACACATGTAACTATGTAAAGTGCTTATGTAAATTGACTCAATAAAAATGTTTTAAATACAAATATAGTAAACATTGATAGATACCCCAAATGGTTCACAGTGACACAATCATGTAGAGTGCAGAGGTACTATGAGGTTATTACGAGGATACCGCAAAGTATGCACGAAGACAGTACAGCAGGAGTACTGTACTGTTGTAATTAACCTTATTATTATACATTTTTAATTCCTTCCAAGGACATGGAAATGCCGAAATCCAAAATGTTTAGAACAGAGGACGCTTATGCGCATAATCATTCTATATTTAGTATTTACATTTCCTAATATGGTAGGATGAAAATACCCTGTAAAATACTGCAAAATTACGGCACGCTGTAACTTATGGCGTTACAGTGACAGATGTATTATTTGATTTCGGTACAAATCCATGTATATTAATTAGGTAATTTGTATAATAATTAATCAGTTCTAGTTTGTTAGTTCCTGTCAGACAGCTGTCTGAAACAAGATTTATGTTTTGTGTTTTGTCTATGTGTTCAATCTTGGTTTCAGACAAATTTTCAGATGTTAAGTATGTAGGTCAGCAGTATTACGATTTGTTGCAAATATATAGGGACATAGTGTTAAACATGGAATAAAACATTTGTAGAAATGGAATTAAATTACCATTCAGTAAAAATCTAAAAATTTTCTAGCAGTGAAAAGTTTTCTTGGGAACTACAAAATGGAGTTGTCAGTGTCTTTTATGAAATTTTGTCTGAATTAACATAATGTTAAATATGGAATGAAACATTTGTAGAAATAGAATTAACTTACCATTCAGATTTACATTCCGACACATATCTCCCAGTAGTTTCTATATATTGCATGGCTTTGGGCAAGCATTCTATTAGGCCAGCTCCCCACTTATTTACTATGCATAAAAGACATAAAACATACGACTGTATGATAAGGTTTAGTGGCATTAGTGGTCTCTGCAAACTGATTAATTTCTCTCAATTCCCTATTTAGTAACAATAATTTATTGGATGTACAGCCAAGTGTCTGCAGTGGTTAGATCTCTATCTATCTACTAGTATCTAAAAAACTTATATAGCGCTGGTATCCAAAACTAAGTTTTTTTCAAAGGCGCTGAAAGCGAACACTACAAATCTGTAGAGTTATTCCACACTGTAGGCTTTGCTGAACAAGTAGGTCTTAAGTCTCTTTTTAAAAATATTGACATCAGTAACTTCACGAAGATCAAGTGGAAGGTCATTCCAGAGTTTTGGAGGTGCATATGAGAAGGCACGTCCACCATATGTTTTCTGTCTGTAGTTAGTGTTATGGAGAAGCTTCTTTTTCAAGTCCATAAAACACAGCAGAAATGCGATAATCCAAAATCTGATGAGAGTGGGTGAAGTCACTGGATATTCATGAAACAATAATGATAATAAATGAGACTGTAGGATGGCTGAGCACTGAGAAAAACTTCAGAATTCAGGAGCACAATGTGATAGTTCAGCATGCCTTGAGATAGCAGGGTCTAATAATATGAGGTTATTATGAGGATACCGAAAAGTATGCATGAACAAAGTATACACAGCTGTAGTATCGACCAACAATAGATATACAGATATATTAGTTTGACGATCCTATTAATGGTGGCCATTTTTGTGCTAAAAAATCATCAAATATCAAGCATTTCTGGCATTTATGGATGGATTTCGTTCAAACTTATAACATACATTAGCCATTACGGGTTCCTGATGCAAGTCATTTTATTTTTCAGATCGGATTCAAAATGGCTGACTGGTGGCCATTTTGTTTTAATGAATGTGCTTCTAGAGCCATATCTCTTAAATGCTTTGACTGATTATATTCAAATTTTATATATTCGTTATACATCATGTTATATATATATATATACATGTATTCAAAATGGCTGATTTTGAATGCTGTTCCAGAGCAATATCTCTCAATATAGACAAGTACTTGTTTGACGATCAGATACAAATTTCAATCATTTTAATGTTAAAAAATTATATTCCTGACATGGTTATATTCCAGCTATATTACTAAAAACAAAACTATATATCTTAAATTTGATAACTAACGTTATTATTATTATTATTATTATACATTTTTTCATTCCAATAATACATCATGGGAATGCCAAAATCTAAAAAGTTTAGAACAGAATCTGCGAACTTCTTTGTGTGGAGTCCCTGTCAAACCCTGGTGGCAGCCATGTTTGTTTTTATTATTAGAGGACGCTTATGCGCGTAACCATTCCATATTTGGAATTTGCATTTCCTTATATGGTAGGATACGTAAAATACTGCAAAATTATGGCACACTGTAACTTACGTTACGGTGACAGATGTATAATAATAATGTTTATTTACACTTACACATGGCAATGGTTACAAAAACAAAACAAAAAGACAATTACAGAGGGAAAAAAACAGTTGACTCACTCTCAAAATGATGAGAGATGTCAAGATTTTTTATATGGAGTTGCCTTAATGTTGCATGCTGATAATACACATTTTGTAAATGCAAAGTAGTATGCTGAATGTTTTCGCTAGCGGTTTGCTGTTAAACTGTTGGATAATGGTCTTACATACAACGTGAACAGATTCCTTTTGGTGGGCATAGTAATTGCTTTAATTTCGTGAGTGGCACATTTTGTCAATCAGTAAAAATCTCAAAATTTTCTAGCAGTGATATGTTTTCTTGGGAACTACAAAATGGTGTTGTCGGTGTCTTTTATGAGATTTTGTCTTAATTCACAAATGCTTTAAAATCCTGAAATCACGTAAATTTCTAGCAGTGAAAATGCAATCTTATAATGGTAACTTAAATTCAATGAAATTGCAAGTTGAGGGCAGGGTTGTTATACTGTATGTCAATCTATTAAGTCTTAAACCTAATTCTAAGACCTTAATATTCATTTTCCAGTGATGTAATTTTGGTTCTGTGTTTTATTACTGTGTCATTCAACTGTGAATATAATCTTTGAGTGAGGCTCACACGAATTCCTGCATTCAGCCATTTTGACGTGTTGATCCTACGGTAATGTGTAATTGTTCAAGAAATTACCTGGTTTGCCTTGAACTGCGTAAGCTGTGAATAATGCTGATACCAAACTGCCAAGGAACCCAGTCGGGTGGTGATGGGTCATTCGTCCACTTTCAATACTAACAGTAATCAAGTCATCTAGTTGTTCTGGTCTCGGGTAGCGTAGACCAATACACATAGATCGCATGGCTGCACCACAGCTACGAGCTCTGCAAATAAATATCCAATAAAGTGAATTTTTAACATTTTTACCACCAGTTCCCTCTTTTCATCATAAATTCACAGAATAGTCCTGTTTATAGTCTGCACATTCTTTTCGAAGATTGGGACAAAAATAGCCAAATTTTTTGAGTAAAAACTGAAAATTGGCTTAAATTTCGTGTGTTGACTTCAAAATTAGGGTTCATTTCCAGAAATATTGAAGAATATTAGAAACAAGTGCAGACAAATTGTGGTGAAAAGGTTAAGTCCGTGTTGTGGACTCATGCCTTTGGTTCTATTAATCTAATAACATTTTTCAGACAAGTCCTAGACCAAGTTTGTTCAAAGTTTGCACAAAGAAAAAACATAATAATACAAGTATACAGCTCAATTTGTTTTGGAATCTATTGAGGTTTGACTAACTGGAGCCATATTTGACGAAAAAAACAACATTTCAACCAATCATCGACTGATGCACATCTTTTGTTGATTGGTTACTACTCTTTTTCTCTGATGCTCTTTGTGAATCTGTAACCCAATATTTACTATCATATTTGATTGTAATCTTTCAGATATCCATTTTCTAGAAATACTGATAACTTGAATTTTATGATATAAGTGATCGTTATTGGCTAAATGTCACAAAAGAAAATTTTGATACAACGTAAAAAGTTGCATCTGAACATGATATATCTGATTGAAAAGCTAATAATTATGAATAATCGTTTACAATCCAGTCTGGCTATCAAAACAAAATATTAAAAAACAATTGTTACATTAGTACCAGAGTAATATTGTTATTCATAAACAAATTTGCCAGCTATATTGCAAACTTGCTTGACGGATTGCTTTTTTCTTCCAAGTACCGTAATAGCATTTCTTTTTCAAAGCAATATCTCACGGACACTGAAGCGAATGCAAACACAGACAACAGATCCCGTAAGAATAAATGGCTACATTATCGGTAGTTTACTTTTAATGCATGTATGTTGATTTTTTTCAGAAAAATGTATACAAATAACCAGCATCTAATGAAAGTGAAGGATCGTGATGTCTTGCTTCATTTTGGCCTTGCTACAGCAAAAGATAATTTTGAAGACATGTTTGGTGATGTGAAGGTATGCAGTATCTTAATTGTATTCACAAATTTGTGTCAGCCATAAAGCACTGAGCATTGTTTGTATATATAATTTCAATAATGAGCGTTGAAATTGTAGAATCCTTTTCAGACAGTTTTGTTTAAAAAGTGACCTCCATTCCAGACACAGTTTACTTGTAATAAAATTCAACCCTGGGTTTGGTTTTATGTTCATAATTTCAATTGTTAGCTAAATAATATTAATAATAGTAACTTTATTACACAACTGCACCTGCACGGTGGGTGCTGTATGGTAAGGATACAGATCAGAAAAAACAAACACAAATAAACAAAAAACAACAAAAGTTTCAAAATTACAAACAAAACAAAGGGTATATATAAAATACGTATTACAATTAGGTTTTATAAATTGTGTTTTTTAAGTATTTTGCAAGTGCAGTACTACTATTTATAATGCAGGTGAATATTTAATTTCGGTTAGCTGTACTACACATTTCTAATTTACAGTCTTCTAAGAGGGTATTTCTTTTTTGAGTGAAGAAGCAACAGTCAAGGATGAAATGTTTTTCATCTTCTACAGTACCTGTGTTGCATTTTTTACACAATCTGTAATTTGCCTCAATTCTTGGAAATTTTCTCCTGCCCAATTCTATTTCCAAATTATGGTCACTAAGTCTAAACTTGGTAACCATTCTTCTCAAATTGCAGGAACTTAAAACCCAGTAAATTCAATATTCTTGTCAAGCAAATCTCAGGGATTACAGTACAAGTTGACAACTTTATCAGGGGCCCTGATCGATATGTTTAAACACTTCAACATCTTGAGGGGCTAACCCTTAATCTGATGGCCTGTCACTGAAAATGTTATGTGTTATTTCCTGCAATTTTCTATGATTCCATCTTGTGACTGATTTCAACGAAATGGCGACTACTCAAATTTCATGTGGCCTTCTATCATAACAAAAAATATGTTCAAAATCACAGCTATTGTCTCAAGTTGTATAATTCAATTATCGTATTAATTATTAGTAGCATATGTACTTATAGGTAAATGACAGAGGTGTGCATGTCTAGGATAAACATATAGTCATATTTTAATTATCAAGTATACAATAAATCAATAAATACAATAAATCTGTGCACTTCTTTTGAAGTAAATATAATACCTTGAATCACGTCAAGTACAGGTAATTCATATTTCTGCATATATATTGTTTTCAGTTCGTGTGTTCAGGTGGTAGTATGAACCGAATGAAATCACTTGCTGCTCTCATTTCTAAAGAACTCAATATATCATCTGAACTATGCAATCTATGCAGCACAGACCGATACGTTTTGTATAAAGTTGGTCCTGTTCTTACTGTCAGTGTAAGTATAATTGTCATATCATTAAAGGGACAGTTGCTGCACCTGTCATTGTTTTTGAACAATTTTTGGAGGTAATAAAAATATTTCATTTCCTGTGTTGTTACTGAATTACAGATTAATATCATGAGAGTTGATGTCCAAGTTTGATCAATAATTTAATGGAAAGATACATTGTAGCTGTCATTTCATTTACTGCTCAGTAATAACTGCGATTGTTAATTGTAATTTTTCTTTCGAATATTTAATATAATTCTCCTTGTTGTGTGTTCAAGCATACATTTCATAAGGCACCCCACCACTCGCTACCCAAAGGTTTTGCTTTTCTTCATCTCGAGCAACAATTTGAAACCTGTGCGTCACACATTTTTTGTTGAAATTTGCAAACCAGTCAACTGCACCAACAATGTTTGTTGTATATTCCAAGAATATGTTTCAGGGTATTCTTTTTGTCGAACCGAATTAATATTTAATGTTTGTATTCGTTAGCATTATTTAATAAATGATAAATATTCTATTTGTTTTGTGATATTAAAGAATCTTTAATACAAAAAAAAAATTTAAACCACATCATTTTAAAACTTTTTTGGGTCATACCGAATATTTTTGTTGGTGAGAACGTCATAATATATTAATAAAAATGGTTCTAAATATTTTGTTTTAACTCCTTACAGCATGGTATGGGTATGCCGTCTACTACTATTATGTTACATGAAATAATTAAACTATTACAATATGCAAAATGTAAAGATGTTAAATTTTTTCGAATCGGTACGTGTGGTGGACTCAGTCTGGAACCAGGCACGTTGATTGTCACCGGCACAGCTGTTGATTATAAATTTGAACCAGTATTTGAGCAAGTAAGCTGACCTCAGTTAGAGTTGTTCATTTTGTGACATAATCTTCAATTCTCTATTTTTGACGACAATTTTTGTTAAAAAAATGCTATTTTTGACTTCTTCTTCAAACTACAAGCTCAATTGCTTTGATATTTGGTATGTAGGTACCTTGGGTAAACCTCTGTCAGATTTATTCATTTCTTGATGATATCTTCAATTCAATTTTTGATAAAAATGCTATTTTTGACTTCTTCTTCAAACTACAAGCTCAATTGCTTTGATATTTGGTATGTAGGTACCTTGGGTAAACCTCTGTCAGATTTATTCATTTCTTGATGATATCTTCAATTCATTTTTTGATAAAAATGCTATTTTTGACAACTTCTTGAAAACTACCAGCTCAATTGCTGGAAGGCTTTGATACTTTGGTATGAAATTGAGCTGGCAGTTTTCAAAAAGAAGTGTTATGAGTGTGCGTTGCTTGACTTGGCTACCACGATGTTTTTGTAGGCAGCGGAACTATTTCGCCCATCAGGACGCTTGTTTATATTATATATTGATCTATTTACCTCCAGATGTGCAAGGAATATTTAATCAGTCCAACAATGTGCGAGATGTGGCTGGATACGAATGGACATGCGCATGCACACATAGAGATCAATCCATAAGTCCTCCTTTCGGACTTCATCGGAACAGGGACTAATAATATCCAATTATTTTAGAACAGTTGTGCATTTCACTCTATGGACATAATAAGTGTGAGCGGAGAAAACTAATTTAATTTTTTTCCTCATAGCAAATTCTTGGTAAGATAGTGTCTACATCAACAACATTTGATAAGGATCTTGCAAAGGAGTTACTATTATGTAAGGATGACTCTGAGAAGTTTGAGATGGTTATTGGCAATACTATGAGTACCAATGATTTCTATGAAGGTATGGTAATTTGCAATCTATGTTGGAGTTTTATTAATTCATTTATCAAGAAATTTACTTTGAGTTGTAATGAGTTGATGATACAGGTGAAAAATAGGTTGATGTTTAAGTTGTTGAAAAATGGCTTAATGATTGAGTTGAGGGTTGATGATCGAGTTGTTGGTTGATGAGCAAGTTGTGGGTCGATAGTTGTGTTGATGAGCAGGTTGGAAAATAGGTTGAGTCATTGTAATTGGTTGTAATTAATATGTTTCACATATTTTACTTTGTTGAGTTAACAACATGTACCGTAATGCATATGCTTTGGATGCTAGTGAGAAGTGGAGGCCAACAAACCTGATATGTATCAATTCTTACAACCAATAATTGATTAATCGAATCAAGTTGAATACCGATATTTATAACCTTTGACAAAATCAGATATGAAAACAGTATATTATCACAGTGGTGTTCTCACTGGACGAAATAAGCCGTTGTCACAACCCCTCTTATTTGAGAGCGTTGTTAAAATGTGTGTGCGAACAGAATACACTGTTGTGGCATCGGCGTTTTTGACACCGTCGTAAAAGGGGTGGACCAGATCCTAAACGCCGTTGTCACACCGGCTCTTGCACAACGCAATGTGCCGTGTGAACACAATACGATGGCCAAATGCCCTCAAGATGGCGTTGGGGTTACAGGTCGAATGTCGAACTGGTTAGACGAAGAAACAAGATTACTGATATCTGTATGGAGAGAATCGAATATTCAAAGAATGATGGACGAATCAGCTAGGGATGCTAGAGTATATGCTGTGATTGCAGAAAATGTCAACGGAAGATCAAAATTTACGTATAAAGTACAGAGAAGTGACTGAGCACAACAACAGAAGCAGTAGAGATTTGAAAAATATGCCATTTTGGGATGAACTACATGAAATATTAGGTGGAAGGCCAGCATTCAACCCTCAACATTCTCACTTTTTACTAAGTGAGAATGCGAGCAGACAATTCAGCAGATTATCTAATATTTGCACAACAAAAAAACGGTGTCAACACCGGCGTTTTTTAGACGTAGCTATTAATCATGACACTGACATTTTTACTTCTTGAACACCAAGCATAGTTGTTATTCAAGAGGAGATTACAATTTTTTTTTTCTTCATTTTCCTGCCTATGAATTCCCAGTGTAGGACAAAAAAGTGTCAGTTTCTTACAATTTTAACCAACACTGAATGTCATTCTCAGGTCAAGCCCGTCTGGATGGAGCTTTCTGTGATTACACGGAAGAAGATAAAATGAAGTATTTACATGCCGCCTATGATGCCGGTGTTAAGAATATAGAAATGGAGGCATTGTGTATTGCATCTATGATGAACAGAGCAGGAATGTCAGGTAACATATGACTCTGTAGTTTACACTTTACTGTATTTGATCTGTTTTGTAGCGCATATGCTTACCTACACTATAGAGGTATTACTATGGTCAAATAGCGACATTTTAATGATTAAGTAGAAAATAAATACAATTTTGGTTCATGATTTTATTTGTGATTCGGTATATGTATGTACATAACATGGTTGTGAAACCACATTTTATATCCTTTAACAGGTGGTTGTTGGGTTAATATTTTGCCCATTTCTTCATAGCGATAAACTCCTACTTTGTCAGCCATTTTGGATTGGAAAATGTGCAAAGTACATAAATTGAGGTTCAAAAACTAGTTCGAGAATAATTTTTTTTTTCTGAATTTAAAACAGGCAATCACAATTAATAATTCAGTAAAGTTTTAGGAAATTCTTGTCAAAAGAGTTCATTAGATGTAACCATCCTTAATATACAGACAGATTCAGGATGTTCATTTAGATGGCATGCACCGTTACATTGCTCCATTTCATTGTGAGTTATATGTGTATGAGAAGCTATGGTTTAAGAGGGAGTGAGCGCTCCCTGCACTCCCCTCTTAATCCACCACTGCTTAAGGAGGAACATGTCACAAGTGATGATATCTTCTCAAATTATCAAACTTGATGTCACATACAATTGTAACTTGAGAAAAGATTCAAGATGTATATGTGGTGTTTTTTCAGACATAACATCATTTTCTCACCAGCTTTTATTTCAAAAATATTTTATTTCTAAAAGATTAAGCACACATTTTATTTCCTTTTGACAGCTGCTGTGTTGTGTGTGTCTTTGTTGGACAGACTCAAAGGTGATGAAGCAGCCACCTCTACAAAAGACTTGAATGATTGGCAGAAGAGACCACTAACTATTGTGACACGTTATATCAAGTCTAAATTAGAAAAGTGACAAGTCTTTTTTCTAAAGTATTACAGTGCCGGCAGTATGTGTCAAGATTGACAATTTTTTATTGATTAAAACCATTAATCAAGTATGGAATGTATGACTCTTTCAATGACAATGTCGTCTTGTTTCGGAAAATAAAGCCATATAATTTACTCCACGTTTTTTCAAATCTTTTGATCCTAACAGTAAATGGCAAATTATTTACACTTGCTCCAAAATTGGCAAAAAAATTATAGTAAAAAGAGGTATGATAATTTTGAAAAATATTATGGTGCTCACATATTTTGAGTATTTATTCACCGACTTTTGATTGACAGCAAAGACACCATAACTTGCGGTAAATTATCTCAGACTAGTGATTTGTGTATGGTGAAAAATACAAAGGAATAACAAGCGAAGCAGGTTTACTAAATAGTTATTAATTTACTGACACTCAAGAGCTATAACCTACTGCTTGAAACAGTAGGAAGACAACCGAGCGACATTACAAAACTTTGTGTCCAGACAGAAAACGTGATGGACTTGGGTGACCAGTAACACACTGGTCACAGTATACCAGTTTAATAGCTCAAATTAATTGCCAGCTACTGATTAATTACCCACCATTAATTACCCAATATAAATA